AATAATAGGTGACAAAATTTGTTTTCATCAACAAATACTTCTTTTTAGGTGAGGAAAAATTAAGTTTTGTCACCGAAATTTTTCCCGCTAATTTTTTTTTGGTTGGCGCCAAAATTTAAGACTTTTGGTGAGAAATTTTTTTTGTCACCAATTATAAAATTATTAGTGAGGAATATATTTTCGTCACCAATAATTTTGTATATATATTTTTTGAGAAACTTGATTTTAAATATTTTAAGACCATTTGGTGAGAAATATATTTTTGTCATTAATAATTTTTAATATTTTGAGACTTTTTAGTGAAGAAATTATTTTGTCGCCAATTTTGGAGGAAAAATTTTGACATATTGGGCGGTGATGGAAAAAATAGACAACTAACTTTTTTCCTCTTTTTATTTTTGTTTATCAATTTCTCTCTCTCTCTCTCTCTCTCAAAACAAAACACAAGTTAATTAACTCTCCAAACCTATGGTGACGAAAAGTAATAAAGAAAATATTTTGTCACTAAATAAGAATAATCCGTGACGAATTATAAAATTTTGTCACATATAATAAAAAGTAAAAATAATAGGTGACGAAATTTATTTTCGTCAATAAATACTTATTTTTAGGTAAGGAAAAATTAAATTTCGTCACCAAAGATTTTTCATCTAATTTTTTTTGGGTGGCGCCAAAATTTTGAGACTTTTAGTGAGAAAAAAATTTGTCACAAATTATAAAATTATTAGTGAGGAATATATTTTTGTCACCAATAATTTCAAATATTTTTAAGAAAAATTATATTTAAATATTTTAAAACTATTTAATGAGAAATATATTTTTATCATCAATAATTTTAATATTTTAAAATTTTTAATGACAAAATTATTTTATCACCAACCAATCTTAAAGGGGAACTTTGAGATTTGGCGGTAATGAAAAAAAGGAACCCTACTAATTCTCCCCCATCTCTTTTTTTTCTTTTTTTTTGGTGCTCCAATTTTCTTCTCACCCCTCTCTTGCAAAACACACAAAGGTATGGCCTCTCTCTCTCTCTCTCTCTCTCTCTCTCTCTACTACAACAAAACTGAGTTTTTACGGCTCCACATTAACGACATACAGTAAATGCAAGGTGTGATTTCTCATTTTTACGACTTACTTTTTTTGCATGTCGTAAATAATTTCCCAATCACGGCGTATCTATTGCGTAGGCCGTAAATGCTAATACTGAAGATTTTTTTACTGCTTGCAATGTTAGCCGTAACTAATAAAACTTTCTACGACGTGCATATGACATGCCGTTAATACATCAATTATACACGACACGCGTACACCAGCCGTTAAAAATATTAAACATTTCACGGCGCACAAAAAGCCAGCCATTAAAAATATTGTACTTTTTACGACGCACAAAAAGTTAGCCATTAAAAAGTAAACTTTCCATGACACACATATGCTAGTCATTAAAAATATTTTACTTTTCGCAACATACAATTTCTATCATAAATAATATAACCAAAATAAAAGTAAGCGCCAAAACAAAATACTCACGCCAAATACTAAAATGAAATACTTTTCAAATAGGGCATAGTTCTCCCTGCCCCCTCTCTCTCTCTCTCTCTCTCTCTACAAAAGCTAAAAACTCAACTAGTGATCTACAGAAGCTCCTCTACCACACCCTTCCATTTCAAACCCTAAATCATATTCTCACCAATTTCTCTCTCCATCTCTCTCCCCTCCAATTTCTCTCTCTACAACCTACAACGGCCATGGCTCTTCTCTTACCAAATTCATCGATCTAGAGCTGCCATGGAGACTAGCAAAAGGCCAGAGTGGGTTTTTAGAGACTTCCATTACCTTTTACCCGTTCCGAACTCGCTCAACATTCACCATGGTTGACCCTCTTCCTATTCCCTTCTTCAGATCTAATTTCTATGTACTCTTTTGCTGTTTTCTTGTTGGGTTTTTTATTTTTTGGAGAAAAAATTGTGTTTTTGACTTTGGGTTTTTTGTGTTTAGATGGATCGGTATCAGAGGGTAGAGAAACCGAGGCCAGAGACGCCAATTAACGAGAATGAGATTGGTATAACCACTCAAGGGAGGAAGAGGAACTAAATTATTTATGCTATCACTCTGTTTCAGGTCTCTCTCTCTCTCTCTCTCTCATTGAAAAATTAGGATTTTGATTGAGCAAATCAAAAATTACAATTGTGTTTTAGGTTGTGAATTTTTATTTTATTTTTTTTTTCTTGAATGTGAGTTAGGGAAAATGTTTGAATCTGAATTAAAAAAATTAAAACCTAAATGTGAAATTAGGTTCTTGGTGAAGGAAAATAATTTTTTTGAATTTTTCCATCTTGTTATTGCTTTTCTCTGCATCCAAATTGAAGGGTTATGGTTGTTTTGATGTTTGATAATCGTTTTGGGTCCATCTTCTTCTTCTTCTTAATGAAACAATGGAAAGCTTGAAATTGGTAAGTTTTTGAGGTAGATCTGTTGATTGTTTTGTTTTTTCCCATCTTCTGCTTATCCATCCAATTTCTTGACATAAACAATAGTTTGTCCTACTTGAAGTCTGAATTACGAAAATTAAAGGCTTGCCTTAGACATTTTTAAAAAATTTGTTACTGTCTTGAATTAAGATCAGCATTTCTGGTGTGAATGCCCTTTCACTTAATGTAGAAACTCAAGTAGGTTTTATTATGTTAATTTCCAATTGGCTTTGTTCTTCTCAATATGGAAGGAAGATATTAAAGTTCATCACATTTTTGTGCCCTGTTGACCATTCTCCATATTCAATTTCTTCCTTATCATTTTCTTATGTTAAAATATGTGAATTACTACATGGGTTAACCTTTACCTGTTCTGTGCTTAATGACCTGGCATGGCTTACATTCTGGATGAAATCCTATTTATCTAAATCAATGATTATCTTATCAACATTTATCTTTATTTTCTTCCAAATAATGATTGGTCTGCTTTCTTTTCAATAGAATCTCATTCACTTTGATCTTTTTGTTTTTCAATCTCACTATTTCCAATTTTTTCAATCTATGTTTGTATATTGGTAGAACATAATTTTATGTATTTCTAATGAATATAGATAATTAGACTATGTTATTCCTTTTTGTCTTGAAGGAAGAACATTAGAATCCTTAATTTTTTTCTTAAAAAAATGCAATGTTGGTTGTAGGCATTGGACTCGGGATAAGTGGGTTTGTGTTTGCTTCCTTGGAGCTTCGGTTTTGGGCATCGTATTGAGGCCAGACTTTAGCTAGGACAAGTTGGATTCAGTTGATGCTTACTCATATTACTCCCTGAATCTTATGTGAAAACTTTGTTTATTTTCAATTTCAGCATCCTTTGGATAGTTTACACGACATAGATATTTACTTCATATTCTAATAGTGTCCATTATCATGGCTGGAATTACAGTGTTTGGCATGATTTACTATAGAAGGGCATTAATGTTACAGAGTTTCCTGGAAAGAAGATCTCTGGGAGGTATTTTGTTTTGTGAATTCTTATCAGTCCTAAGTACTATTTGAAGCGAAGGCATAGATATTCTTTCTCATCTATTTCTTGTATCAACATAGGATGATTATTCTCAAGAAAAAGTCGTAACAACATAAGGTTTTCAGTCTTCACAAGCTGACTTAAAGTTCACTTATGTTATTTCTTACCAAATTAACTTTTAATCTTATATGAACTTACTTGTTTCTCTTTTACCTCGGCGCCTTTGTGTTCACAGACTATAACATAATTCTTGGTGTGAATTAAAATAGTCTTATATTTGATCTTGTAGCTCAAAGGTTTTCAGCACTGAAATTTTGAGGCTTACTGGGCTAGTGGCTCCATAGTGTTAGGGGGAATGTGATGTCAATGCCATGCGCTCAGGCTTCTCATCTGAAGTGCCTCTGTCTTGAATATTCTAGTACAGGAAAAATGAATTTTTTTTTGTATATAATTCTAGAAACAATATATATACATATATATATATATACACAATTCAACAAACCTTTGTGTCAGTTATTTTGGGTCTGCTACTTGCATTTATTTTCTTCAGCTAACTATTAGAAATGAATAAATCAAATTTAATTAAAAAAATATAGCATTATAAATCTAGCATGAATTCACAATTGATGCACACAAAAAAATTGAGAATTAAGGAAACTCTACTAAAACTGGGAAATCAGATGGCAAAGGAGCATGTAAGGGAACTGAAAAGAAATTGGTTATCATGGATCCTAGAGGTGAAAGAGAACTTTCTGTTCACTAAGGGAGGCTGGAAGCTGAAATAATTAACAATCATGGAGGTGGTTTCAGGTTGCTGCCATCCCAGTGGAGCCCTCTTCTTATTGCGTCTTTTTTTAAATGTCATCAAGATTTCAGTTTAACAAATTCATCTAAATCTTGTTTTTCTTTTTTGAAATATCAAGTTCTGTATTTTTTTTTTTCACTCTAAAATTTAAAACAGCTATAGCAGATTATTTAGTTGCCTATTAGACAATTATTCCATGTCACTCATAGGGCCTTTTTTGTCATAGAACCTTTTAATTGGTCTGAAAGTCATTGCTCAAGGTTTATAAAAAAGACACAAAAGTGTGTCTTTACATTGTAGATACACCTAAAATGTCTCAAAAATCTTGAAGGCTAGTTTGTGTATAGGACCTCCACTTATTAACATGTGCAATTCATCTTTTATTAACATATGGATATATATATATACAAGTCTCTAGATCTAGTTGCTTTTGTATGTACAACATGTCAATCTCTTTGTGCAGCATTGGCAGGATAACTGATTTGAGATGTCTCTTTTGTTATATGCGTTGTTCTTAGCCAATTTCGTCGACGTTGAGTTGAGTCCAAGCAATCTGGAAATCATCTCCTCAAGTTAGCTTTTTCTCAGCTATTTCCTTTTTTTTCTTTTTTTTCTTTTTTTTTTCCTTGTTGATTTCAAGCTATCAATCAGCTTTGTGCTCTTTGTTTTGTATGCTCTTATTTTTTGTTTTCAGAAAAAAATAGTTTTCTCATATCTATTGTTTCTGATATTGGTAACTGGATTGGATTCTCATTCATGCTTTTGCCTTCTCATTTATAATGTTTCTCATCTCTAATGCTTTTGTTTTTGTCTTCTCTCTGTGCTTGTTCTACTTTGTTTGGTTTTTATTTTTTTGATAGGATATATCTGTGGGAGAGGAAAATGTGGAGGATGATGATGGGGTATTTGGCCATGAAGACTGATCCGGCCACGGCCGAATTGATCAATTCCGACATCAATGAGCTCAAGATCGCTGCTAGTGGGATTAATTCCATTCTTGGTAATCAATTGATCAATTCCGACATCAATGGAGGCACTTTGTTTACTTCTAGATGTGCCTAGTGGGATTAATTCCATTCTCGGTAATCAATTGAATACCTTTGCCTGATGGTGATAGCTTTTTCAACTAATTTTTCAGGAAAGAGGAAGTGGGGATATATTGGAAGAAAGGAAGAAACCCTTTGTCTTTTGAGCAATCAGTATTGTGATAATGGCAAAGGTCTATTTTTTATTTCTTTTCTTTTTTCTTAGTGTACTTCTTGTCCCCCTTCTCTTGTACTTGATCCTCTTTTCTTTCTTTTTTTTTTTCTTTTTTTTTTCCCCTTTTTAATGAAATTTTCTTTGTTTCCAATCAAAAAACGATCCAAAAAAGAAAAGAAAAAAAATTCTATATTATATAAAGGGATGGGGAAAATGTGGGGAGAAGGGAATAAAATGAAGTTGGCATGTAGTTGCGTTACATCAAGGTATTCAGCTTGCTGCATAGTTTAGTTTATGATTTTTGTGAAAGAACTCAACTTATTTTCAAAGGTTTGTCCATTTTGCATTAATGGCTAGCAGGTGATCACCATGAGAAACATCTATTTCAGCATTAGCAAGTTGCGAATGCTAATGTCTTTGGGGTTCCAAGTAATTTCTTAGGCATTCTCTAGACGCTTGAACTAATTAATTATTTTCTTTTTGTTTTTCATTAAGCCATTACTCAGAGAAGCATAGTGTTCTCTCTTTTATTTCAGATGAGAGGTGTTTGACGAATTTCCAATTCAGAACAGTGACAAATCGAGTATACTTTAGAGATAGTGACTAAGGAAGCTTCAGCCAAATGGAGATAATTCTCTAGGAAGGTAAGCTTCATCTGTTAAAAAAATATATATATCACTACAAGAAAAATAACTTTTTGCCTCTATTTTTTTACGACTGATTAGTTATCGCTTCACCTTCCAATTCTCAACTTTTTGCTGCCCTTGTTATTTGACACAAACATTCAATTCGTGTTAGCCAACCAATCATATATTGTCTTCATTATGCTCTATTGGACTACATAAGAAGCAGAGGAGGAATATTTAGCAAACTTTATTTTTACCTGGTGTTAGCTAGAGTTGCATATCCTGACACCCACAAAAAGGGTGGTGCAGAATTCAACTCGCTGTTAGGAGCCACTCTATCAGAAAAGAACTAATCTTTGTAATTCAGTTTCCAGGACTTGCTGTTGTCATTTTGCCTCAGATAAATTTATTTGCACCTCATTTGTGTAAGATTCCTGTTCTTTAAAATGTATACAAAGAAATATATAAATAATATTAGCCAAAAGTAGCCAAAATTAAAAACCAAAGAGTCAAAAAAATCATGAGCATGTTTATAAATAAAAAATAAAAAATCACAATGATTCCTTACCAAAGACGATTTGATCAATGCTTTTGTTGGGTACAAATTCATAAACAATAAGGCATTGAGGGGCTTCAATGGTACAACCCAAAAGCCTTACAAGGTTCTTGTGTTGAATTTCACTGATCAAAATATTTTGAGAGAAGTTGTAGGTTTTTGTATGTAAATTGCTGACAGACTGTTTATAGATTCTTCTGGGAGTGAGCAACTATAGGAAACATTTTTTTTTTCACTAAATGAAATATGTGTTTTGACTTATTTTGTGAAGATACACCTATTTTTGCAGAAATTTTGCAATTACTCTCGACTGAATTGTTGCTTTTGGTGCAATATATTGATCACTGGTTTCGAACAATGTAAATAAGAGCTAAGGGAATTTTATGGTTGACACATTGTGCAGAAAAGTTGTTAATCTGATCTGAGAAGTTAGAGATTTTTGTTGGATCAATTGTTAAGAGGCTTTTGCTTTATAGGAAAGACCGCTTTACACATTAAGAAAAATATGCATATTTTATTTTGTGACTATGATTTATTATGATTGGCATGCAAAAGTTTGATTGTTGATTTTTAATTTGTGAGAGAGAATTAGATTTGGTGGTTGTTTTCAAAGATTAGAACCCAACATGCATGAAAGACTGATTGTGGTGAATCAAATGTACCTCAATGCTACATTATATTTTGGAGCTATTATATATATATATATATATTCTGTCATTAGTGATAGTGATATATGGTATTCTTGCAATCTTTTGGCATCTTATGTTATTCGTGTTGCTTTATCATCAAGGATCGCCTCAACTCTTTGAAGTTCTGATTTGTTAGATGTATTTCTACTAAATTGGTTTATAAAATAAAATTATTTATATATGAGTTTAGATGTAATTGATAATATATTAATGTTTTCTTTGTCTATTTTCTTTGCAGATTGGTTTTTGATGATGTTTGGAAGTATACTTGCAAATGAAGATCAACTGTTGAATTTTGTTTCGTGAACTGATACTTAGTTGCAGTTGCAAATCAAGATTGAGTGTTGATTTTTTTTTTGTGGATTCCACGTTAGTTCATTTTGGGATTTGCTTTGGTGGTTTTTTTGTTATACTTAATGGTTTATATTATTAAAGTTGTTTGATGGATATATTTTGATTTATAATATAAATTGTTTATTGATTTTTTTTGTGGAGTGATGTATAATAGCTAGTGATTTCTTAGTACAATTAAAAAGCTATTAGGATATGAGCAAGGATATTTGTGAAATAATAATTGAAATTGAAATATAAAATATGGAACATGTTTAGTGACGAATTTGTTTCGTCATTTGTATTTGTTATTATGACAAAGTGATTATTCGTCATTAATAAACATTTTTTGTAACAAAATTGATTGCAGCGCAAATATGGAAGTTTTCATTGATTTTGTTGTTTGGTGACGAAATATATTTCGTCACGTATATAAATATATTTGCGACGAAATATATTTTGTCACCCATGTATGACTTTTGGAGACGAAAAATTTCGTCACCTTTACATCTTACTGTGACGAAATTATTTCCTCATCAATGATCAACATTTGTGACAAATTTATTCGTCAACTAAAATTATAAATATGGTATTGAATAATTATTTGGTGAAGAAAATGAGAATTTTTGGCGACAAAATCTTGTTTTATTGGTGACAAAAAATTTCGTCACTGAACTAGTTTCATTGGTGACGAAATTATTTTTCGTCATGGTGGTTTTTAGTGACAAACATTCAATGACGAAGCTGGTGACGAAAATATTTTGTCATAAATATCTATAGTGACGAAATTAGCTCTTTCGAGACAAAAAAAATTCGTCATTCAAGACCCAACTTGTTGTAGTGCTCACAGCGCCTGCACGCGCCTCTTGACGCCGTCGCTACGCGCAACAACTCGCGCATGTGTTGCCACGCGCCTTCTTTCCCCGGAGTTATAGGGTCCAACCCGTCTGGCACACGATCCGATCCATTAGCCCGGATCCGGATCCAAGAGCTAACGTCATTGCCAACGTCATTGCTGACGTCACGTCAAGCCGTTCAGTCGAGCCACAAACCGAGCCGCGCCACCAAGCCGCAGACTTGTAGACCACCCGAACTCGCTTCGCGCACCCCTCATTTTGGAGAGGGCACGAATTTGTGGTTCTAGCTACTACAATTTAGACTCCTGCCACGGTTCTGAATCTAATCTCACAAAGTACAATGTAAGACTGATAAATCACCAAAGAGTCCAAATCCGGCAAATCGTTTTGGAAAATCGATTTTAATCAAAAAGCGCCAAACATGGGCTGCTTTGCCAGATTTCAGAGTCGCCACCTAAATATTTTGTTTTGAAAAATTTAGGAAACCCTAACTCGTGCCTAAGGCCACGTGTCCGTCATCACCAAAGTTGCCTCGGCTCGGGAACTTAGGTATGAGAGGGGAAGGTCCTGAAATGAGCACCTCCGCTTGCCCGATCAAAGGATTGGCCTATACTAACATGATATGTTATTTTTGAAAACACATGTGTTCTTATTCTGGTTTATTAGCTAACCTTACTATGTGATGCGCACAACACACAAGTATAGACTAAATCACTAGATTTGGAACAAAACATCTCATGTTCATTTTAAGAAAATGGTTTGGAAGTGCTACTCGCAAGTAGGCTAAAATGCGGATTTGCCATCCTTAAGTGGGCTTAGAAAAATATGATTTTGTCACTCTCAAGTGGGCTTAAAACTCACATTTCGATGAATTGTTCTAATTCATGCAATCAAGCCTTCATCCAAAGGCACTCATGCAGTTAAACACATAAGCACATAGCCTCCTGACAAGCATGCTATCATGACAGTCACTTACACACATGAAAGGATGCTAAAGCGTAAACACTCACAATGTACTCCGAGCCAAAACAGAAGCTAGTTTGAAATCATGCATGATCCTAGCTATTTTAAGATGCCTAATGCAACACATGCAAAAATACAACTAAAATAGGCTCGGCTATCTAGAATGGCATATGAATGTAACGCTTGATAACATGCTCTGAAACACGTATTCAAGAAAGTGTGTTGAAATATAATGTAGTTTGAATAATGCGCGCGAGCCCGGTGCATGCAAGACAGATGAATGATGCACGCATGCAAAACATAAGTATGCTAATTGAAACATGCCCTAAAACTAACCATCAAAAGTTGATAAGTAAAAGGGAAAAAGACGTGGGGTTGGAAGACATTCACACACACACGCACACTTATTACAACATTTGCCCTCTCGACAGAAAGTCTGAATAAATCAACTAACTAACTACGCTAAGCTAATTAATTACAAACCGAATTGAAACTAGCTGTACTAAGCTAATTAGAATATTACAAAGATGAAATAAATTAGCTAAATACATTAACTAATTAATTAAAAAATTAGCAAATTAACTAGCTAAACAAAGCAGTTAAAATGGCCTCGAGGGGAGGGAGATATGCATGCTCGATTGCCTCGCTTGGAAATCCATTGTCATGCCACCAATTGCCTCTATTTGCACTCTTTTGGACTTCTGAAAATTGTGCTAACTCCCAGATTGCTTTTGACATATCTCAGGAACATGCTGAGGAATGATCGGCCAAAGATGGTGGCCATCGGCCATTTCTAATAGCCTATCGGCAGCCTTGGTGGTCGGTCAGTAGCTTTGATGGCCGATCGGCTACTGTTTCCTGCAATTTCTCCTTTTGCTGCAATAGAGCACAAATAGGGGCATGACAGTGTATTTGCAAGGGAATGTGTGTACCACCACACTCCTTATCATGCCTCAAGCTCAAAGGAGTGTGGTACTCAACTCTCGGGCCACTAACCGAGCATCGCAATGCACGATGGCCGAGAAGCCAAGTTTGTACAAGTCAATGAATGCACAATCAAGACTCGATGAACCTCCACCCTATCATGCACGATCAAGGGTGTCGGTGACTAAGAAATGAGGCACGTTTCATCACTTCAAGTATGAAACGTCTCTCATTTCTTGTGTTTGAATTAACATCTGATCCAAACACATGCAATGTAACACAAACATGTTATCTTGGCATGTTTTACTTTGATTCATTTTGTTTACTCATTTTAGATTACCGATAAGTCTTTTAACCGGTTAAGTCCAAAAGCGAGAGTCCTCTAATTTTGAAAGAGGATCTAAACCACAAGCACCTTGAACATGAAAGAAGCATCATGCCATTGGTCAGTAGAAACCCTCAAGAGAAGGCTAAAACCATTAGGCATGAACGCCTCGATTTCGTGCTCAAACCAACATAGGGCTTAAAACCTCTTTCAAAGTGATATAACAAATGAAGAATGGGATCCAATGACATATATTCCAGCACTGAAATAGTATGCTAAATGACATCAAAACATGAAAATAATGCATGCAAGGCATACTCGGAGTCGAAAGCATTGAAACTAGCAAAGAG